TTAACCAGTATCAATTCAAACTCTTCATTCTGTTTTGCTTTCATCTCTGTGCCACAATCCACAGAGGTCTCCTGCCATCCCTAAAAAATATAACGCCCTGGGCGGTTGCCCATACATTCAAGATTTGTAACCAGTGCTGTTGACAGATGTACAAAGTGAACTCTGGCAGCTGCATCAGCAGTAAAACCTAAAGAGTTAAGATGGTACCTTATACCAGCCGTTGGTACAGTCCCTGCCAAATCAAATGTAGTCTGTCACATCGGTACAGAAAACAGATTTTTTTTTTTTTGAGGATATTCCCTTAAGAGTGTACCTCCCACGAGGAACATCGATGTCATCTTTCCTCCAGCGAACATTTGGTTGGGGGTCTCCTTGTACCTGGCACCGAAACTCAACCGTCTCCTCTTCTAGGACCACCTGGTTGATTGGCCTCCGAAGGAAGGTTGGTCGCTCTGCAAGATGTGCAGAAAAACAGATAAGCATCTATTTTTTTTTTTTTTTGGCTGCTGTATGCAGCTCCAACACTATCCATCATAGATCTGAAAGGATAATCTCTTAGTCCTTTATTTTTACTTTTTTATCCTTCATTTTCCTGTCAGTCTTTTACTTACTTCTGTTCTTCAACAAACAAGAAAGACATTTTGGAATAGTACCCTGAAGCCAACACTGAAACAAAACAACTACCATCTAGCTTCTATGGTCCATTTCACTCCAGCTCTGCTTTATGTCATGACAATATAATAGCAACTCCGAAAATAAAAAGTCATAAAACTGAATGCAGCCCAGCAGGACAAATCTGGCAACAAAGTCTAAGCAACAGGGCTTTAAAATCTAATTCTGAGAGTACCTGGCCAAAGACATTATTTTCATGAAGGTATGTAGTAGCATTTAATCCTTTACACAGGCCAACATAGATTCATGTTTCAGGGAAAATCAGGAAATAATGCGTACCAAACACTGTTACTTGTGCCGTCTCACTGTCCCGTTCTCCAACCATGTTGGTGCCCACACACACGTACATGCCAGCATCAGTCTTTCTTGTGTTTGAGATCATGAGCTTTCCTCCTCGAATCTGAAGGAGAAAAACAAAAAACATTTTCCAGATGTTTACTTTTTTACACTGACTTTTTTCTTTCATTCAGTAAAGTCTTTCCTTGTAAGTTCATTTGGGACAAAAGGTGTTAAGTGCACACCAACAAAATAACTTTAACATTACAGCTCAGCAAGTTACAAACCTAAACCTCAGAGAATTTTACTGGGATTTTACTGACAGAGGAACATAAAGTGGTGCATGTTGTAAAGTGGAAGGAAAATAACACATGTTCGGCCATCATTACTGAAGACTATTTTTGTTTTTTACCACTGGTTTATGAAAAGGCGAGGGTTACATTTATATAAAATAAGCAAGTGTAAGATTTTTTTGAGGTCTCAAATTTCAACTATTTGTTGTTCCTAACCCTCATGAATACCAAAAGTTCCTCTATACTTAGCTGAAAGTCTTAAGAAGTGCAACGATCAGTTTTTCACATCTAGGGAGTAATTTATTTTAATCATTCTTCTTTGAAAAACAAATTAAATCAATTCTGTTTGGACAGAATACATCAATGAACAACTATTTCTTAGTTGTGCTACTGTCTCTAAATTGAATTTAGATCTGGACTTTGACTGGACCATTCCAACACATAACTGTTTTGATTTAATCCTTTCTGTTGTGGCTTCTACTGCATATATCTAGTATCATTGTCTTGCAGGAAGGAGAAATTACCAGATTGTTTTTCAATCTTTCAGTTTGCATTTGTGCCCATTGTGTTATTCCATTTGCAGATGATGGACTGAACATCGTAGTGGGAACATCTCCATGACAATATCATCAACATGTATGGCATGTTGCTGGGGTCTTCATTGGGCTATGTCTTTACCTCATTTCTCTAACAAACCTGAGACTTTGACAGAACAACTAGATTTCATTTGAATTGCTCTTGGTCAGACCATAAAATCCCAGTGAAATAAACTGAAGGTCGGGGTTGTAAAAACAGTCTTAGTAGCTGGAATTTTTACAGTTTAACATCTACTGATGTTTCTATTTGTTTAGATCGTCTACAACAGTACTCACAGTGACCCTGTCTTCCTTGTCATCGATTCGCACTTTGTCTTTCTTCCAGTAGATGGTGGGTTCAGGATGACCTCTGGGAGGGACACATTCAAGTATTGCTGGCTCTCCTGCTGCCACCACCACATCAGTAGGATTCTGCCTGAAGTCATCTCGCAGCACTGTGTGAACAAAGAGCCACTCGGTTAGGGAAAAGTGAATTGTTGCACATTTCATTACATTAAAACCACAAACTTCAAAATAGCATGGACTCCTGATATGATGCAAGTCATTTTTTAACATATAAACATCGGTCCAATAGATAATACTGGGCTGATATTTATTTTTTGATGCCGTTTGTTTCTGGATGGTGAGTGGAGCCGGTTGGCCGTGTTGTTTTTGTTTGGTCATGTGACAGTAGTAGTGACGCAGGGCAGGATTGTTGGACGTGGTCAAGTCATTTTTTAGAAAGGTAATGAAATGTATAAAACATCGCTAAAAATTAGTTAGGAGGAAAAACAATGATATTTAAATGAGGTATTGAAATCGGCCCAGATTTTTCAAAATGGGTCAACCTTAATTTTATTACTTAAAACACTAAATATATCTTTATAAACATTAATATGCAGTGGAAACCATCTTAGCAGCACCACAGAAGCTAATGTTGACCATCTTTCTTATCTTTGTTCTTGAACATACATCCAATCAGTGCCAAGGAAAACGAATGGCACTCTTGGATTGCTGTTTTGCAAATATCAGCCAAGTACCATTGCATATAAGTCTAAGCATTTCAGCATTTTCTTTTAAATATTTTGGAATTAAATCCTCAAAATTGGCAAATTGTCCATGATTCCTTTAAAGTTATTTTCCACAGAAAAATCACAAATGGTCAATAGAATTTGTGAATACTGAACCATAACGACAAACAAATTATACACTTTTTTATGTTTTTATTTGTCAAAAACTGTTGAAAATCATGTCATTTGTCTTTCATTTCACTTTGCACTACTTTGTGTAAAATACCGATAAAACACACTGAAGTCTTGCTAGTGCTTTACATTAGCAAAACGTATATTTCAAAGCAGGAGTGGAAAAGTCTTTTCAAAATTCATTCCTATTTACTTTTTAGTGTGCACCATGCACTTTGAAATGTTGCAGGATCTATCTGAGCCATTAAAATGGAATATGCAGCTTCATCTGACTGGGCAAAGCAAAGCGAAAACTAATTGGAGCTAATGGAGGTCCCAGTGGAAGCAGCAGAACAAACAGAAGCAGAATGCCCTGAAGCCTGGTGTCATTCACTTGTGAAGGCTAACAGGGCTGCTTCACTTTGGTAGTGATGTACACGTACACTTTTACACACATTCAATCGTTCGCTAACACACAAAAAGCCAGTGGGTGGTCGGATGAACAACTGTGGCCTTGTGTCTAATCACCCCCCAGGTAGGCCTTTCATTAGAGAGATAACCTCTCGCCCCGCGGAGTGTTCAGAGAAACACACAACAGCAGCTCATTATCAGACGGGGAGTGCTAGCGTCGCACAGACACACAGCGATGCGCAAACAAATGCAAATACTAAAAGACAATCAGGCACAGAACCAATGAGGGATGTAACCCCAGAACAGGAGGCAATCTTTGTAATGAGAAAACATGAAAAACAAAAACAAAAAAACACTCCATGAAAAATAGTTTAAATATATAAACCTACTCCTCCTCACCTGCGACATGGATTGAAACAGATTTTTAAAAAATCTATAACGAATCTAATCCTTGACGGAGCTCTTTAGGAATTTCAGTGCCAGTCTTTATTCCATTATCGAAGCAGAGAAGGGCACACCATTTCTCTGATGGATAAAAGGACGGAGGCTTGTTGGGTGGGTATTTGAAGGTGCTTAAGGAAGGCTAAATTAAGGGCAGCACCACAGGTCCTTATGTAAATTCCATGCAGGGGCGGCGGGCGGCAGGCGGCGGCGGGGACGGTCGGGGTTATAAGAGGGGATAACTGGTCCCTGCGCTCCCGGCTTCTCTCATCTCTTCATTTGCTCTCCTTACCCTCTCTGCAGAAAACGCTGCGGCCATTGTTTCCTTATTTATTTATTTAGACCGAGGGCCGGCGGATTGGAGGAAGGGAGGATGCTTTCAACCCAATTATCCTAGGGATGCACAGGGGGCGCAGAGAATAGGACTTTTGTGTGACATGAATTCAAATGAAACCTTTACACAGGGGGAATTGCAAGAGAATACAGAGGAGGCAGAGATGGAGATTTTCACTCCTCTTACGCAGGGCTGCCCTCTAATCTAAAGAGCTAAGGTAATTAGCCAACTCCAGCGCGCCGGACCCCCCCTAGCCGGGCCACCGTCTCCGAGCTCTCTGTATTTGCATTACAAACAGGCGTCCCGCAGTTTAAAAATCATAGCCTGGTGCGGACCGGAGTTTTCAATATCACGTCGGCTTTAATTGCTCTCTCCCATTCACTGTTGATAGCACCCGTGGGATTTTTGTCGGAATCAATTTCCTTTGAAACAGAACGGCGACAAAAGAAACACGCATTAGGTGCATCATTACGGCGCCCATGCCTCGCTGTCTAATCTAATCTGTTGTGGCACATTGTGTCATGGTAAATGCATCTCTTACCCCGCAATTTACATAAACAGGACGACAGGAACAAACACAAACAAAACACAAAATAAGATCCAGCACATACAGTACAAACATGCACCTGTTGACGAGAGATGATGTTTGCACTAAGTGTGGGTATGGGTAATCGTGACAACACCTGGCAGGTATATTAAGTCAAATAAAAGGCGGAGTTATTCCAGATGATGCTGTTCTGGTCTAAAGTTTTCAAACACTTGTTCCCAGCCTAACTCTAATCACATTGTCTTTTTTTGGTCTGAGGACATAATCACTTGGAGATAAGTGCCAGCTTAAAGCATAAAGATTACGAATTTTTAAAGAAGTTGAGGATGGACCAAACTGGGATCACTGTCCTGATGCAACACTCGACTATGCCTTGTTTTCAGCAATCAACGTTGTCAAATGAACCAGTACACCACGAGCAGCAAAACAGATTTTGAGCATGACGACACTGGTTACTGTAGCCCCATAGCACAATAAAAATTTTTATCTCATAAAATATTCACTAGCTGCATTTCTAAAACAAAAGTGTGCAAAAATTTGTTGATAATGTCAAAACAACTGAATTTCGGAAATGCTGTGTTTCCAATAAATAAGAAACGCAATAAAAACCACACGCAAATAAGTCTGTTCAAGCGTAACTCATTAAAAATCAACCAGGCTATGAATGTAAATACTTATAGGAGATATAATCAGTAGTCAGTGATTTTACAGAAGAGCTATGGATTCAACAGTTTTGAAAGACAACTTTTTATGAACTGTGAGATGGTGTGAGAACATTGTCCAAGGAGGCCAGTTCCTACAAATAAATGTATTCCTGTGTACAAACTAGTGTGGCTCATGTAATGTGACAAGTGTTTCCATTGCAGGTTTACGAAAAACACCAATTTCAAACAAGATGAAAAATCAGCCCCCCAATCTAGCGTTAAAGTGTATCCAAAAATATGAGCTGCCCCCCACCCCCCCCAAAAAAAAATGCTGTGTTTACATTAAGCACATTTATTTTCAGAATTCTAATTTGAGAAATGCTGTGGTCAATGGAAATGCAGCTACTGATCAGACATTTTTGTAAAATTCAAATGTCCTCAAAAGATCTTTTTTATCTGTGGAGGATCCTTTATTGGTCTACATGATGTTGAAGTGAAACTGATTTAAATGAATTACTAAAATAATTAAAAACAATAAGGTCATCATCATTCTACAGAAGGAATAAACACTGAAAACTCCTGCCCATCTGGAGTTCTTCATAACAGAATCAGCAGGTATCTCTTCCACAGTATGAATGCCTGAAGGTGCCTGTGTGGCTCTATGTCAGGAATCATAAGGCAAGCAAATGTTTTCATATTACCACCATAACACAGGCATTTCATTTATTTATTTATTTTTGTCGTTACTCTACGTGAGCTGCATTAAATATGGTTGCGTCATTAAGTGGGTCTGTGCATACGCTGTCAGAAGATAAACTGTGGCTCCCAACTCTGAGGCCCTGTAGGCATTTAGACCCAAATCATCCAACAGACGTAGAGTAATTGACTTTCTATCCCCCTGAAACATTCAGCTCTTCTTCAGCTAAAAACATTCCACCTCCTGCAGAGCTCCAGTAGGCCACAAATTCTGCCATCTTGCTTACTTGCTTATTAATATTTATGCTGTATCTATCTATCTATCTATCTATCTATCTATCTATCTATCTATCTATCTATCTATCTATCTATCTATCTATCTATCTATCTATCTATCTATCTATCTATTAGTTGGGTGGTTAGGTGTACATCTGTCAATCCAGCTGTGGGCTACAAATGAACCTCTGCACTCTTGAAATTATTTATTTATTTCCATAGCAGGGTTTCCCCCAGTGTATTATAGTCCTGGTGGCCCGCCATGCTTTACTTGCACCACCGCCAGGCTAAGCCTTTCTTGTTTATGTTTTTAGGAAAATAACAATAATAAAAAAATAAAATAAAATAAATCGCTTTTTTTTTATTTTTTTAAATGCCGAATTGCAAGGGTCTCTGTTGCTCTGATTGTTTCATTGGTGGGGCAGATTTATTCCTAATTTCCTAAAATATATGTTTATAGAAGATAGGTTTATAATTAATGCATTTAAAGCCGGACCAATCACACCGCTGGTGCCTCTGCACGTTGCCTCGCGCTGCAGCAGCTGGATGTCTTAAGTTTTCCTCAGCGCGGATCCCGCGCGCCTCCTTTCACTCAAACTGGACACATGCTGACCTGCTGTATGGATATTTACATCAGATTATTTTATTATTATTTTTAGTATTATTTTTCCGGTTACATGATGCATCAAACCATATCAAATTATTTGTCCACTTAGTCAGGTAGAGTTAATGTGCGCGACTGCGCGGAGATCTGAGAAACTTGTCCCACAAACAATTTGTTATGCTGAGTATTGGAGTCAAGCGGGCTGAATATGAACTTGTGAAATTCAAAAACTTTTACAGAGCAGTGCAGATGAAATCTTACCCAAGACAGACTTGGCGCACA